TGATGTCATCATTACCATCCATCATGGAATACTTTCTTCTTCAGATTTGCCCTCAGCCCTCTTTTTGAGTTTTGTTTGGAGACATTGAGTTGTCCCCAGTGGCCTTGACCTCACTCTATAGCTCAGGCAGACCTTGAACTTGGGATCGTCCTGGCTCAGCCCTTTAAGTAACTGAGAATACATCTTCTCCAGCCCTTCCGACCCCAGAAAACACGTTTCCTACCTCTGTCGATTTGCCCATTTTGAACATTTTATGTAAAGTGGAATTCTCATATATGGTATTTTGGGGCTGACTACTTAATATGTTTTTAAGATTCATCCATGATGTAGTTCATGTCAGAACTTCCCTTTTAGAGATTAATCCTGTTCCTTTATATGGATATACCATATTTAGTTGGATGATGGACATTTGAGTTATGTCTTCTTTGGCTATTAACACCAAACATTACTTTTCCTGGTTGTGAACTTCACATAGTGGATATGTTCATTTATAAATGAATTCTTTTCTGTCTGGCTTCTTTTGTTTATGAGGCTCATCCCTGTCTCCATTTATAACTATAGGTTATTCATTTTTACTTCTGTTTAATATTCTTTTGATAGGGTATGGTAAATGTATTTATCCATTCATTCCTTACGGACACTTGCATTGCTTTTTATTTAGAACTGTCACTGATAACATTCCTGTGAAGATGCCTATACATGTCTTTGGGGGCACACACACATTTATTTTTTGTTTGGTATATGCTAGAAGTTAAATTACCGGGCCATATTGTATACTGTTTTGGGGTATCCACCAGAGAAGACTGCTCGAACAGAGATTTAAGTCAATAGAAATTCTTCACTAGCCAGCTGGCAACTGCCCTGGGTGTTTGGGATCCCAAGGTGGCCCCAAGTCTTTCTCCGAGTAAGCTTTTAAAAATAAATACCATATCCAGGGTTGATATCAGTTAATGAACAGTTAGCCAGAAGTGAGCTACAGAAGCCAAAAAGCAAAGTTGATACATTTAGAGACTTTCCCAGAACTATGGACTTTGATAAATTAGGCCTATGTTCTCATTTTGGGTGATGGGACTGTCTACATGCAGAGTTTTATGGCCTGGATGGTACTTCCATCATGGAGTTGGTTGTGCTAAGGTCTGGAGACCTGTTACAATATTGTTTACTGTAGGGTGTTTGGTTTTTCAGAATATAACGGCTGCTTTGGAAAGTGTGCTGACTTACACTCCCAACAGCGGTGTATCAGTGTTTCTGTTCCTTGCTGCCCCCACCCAGCACTTGATTTTATCAGTCTTCCAACTTTGCCCATCCTGGTGTGCCTATAATAGTAGCTCCTTGTGGTTTTTACTTCATGTTTCCCAATGAATGGAGGTGAGCCTCTTTCCATGCATCCAGCATCTGCCAGAGCATCCGTGCCCTGGGGTGGCAGTGAGTGTGTGGAAAGCGCATAGTCAAGCCCCTGGAGGAGTTCACAGTGGCTCCCTGTGTGCCTCTTTTTTGTTTGTAAGATTCTTTCAGTATTCTGGGTTTCAGCTCTTTCATTCATTTTGAGTATTTGTTTTCTGAGACAGATTCTTGCTATGTAGCCATGCTAGCCTGGGAGTTGGGGTGCTTCTGCCTTGGCCTTCATGTGCTAGGATTCCAGCTCCCAGCTCTAGACTTGAGCTCCTTAGGGGTTATTAGGGTCACCACATCTTCCTCTTTTCTGTAATTTGTTTCCCCACTTTCTTATTGTTTTTGATAAGCAGATGTTCTTAAATTTAATGCAATTCCAAACTCCAACTCAACAGCCTTTCCCTGAATGGATGTGGGGTTTTTGTTGTTGTTTTGTTTGGTTGGTTGATTTGGTTTCGGTTTTGGTTTTCCCGAGACAGAGTTTCTCTGTGTAATAGCTCTGGATGTACTGGAACTCGCTTTGTAGACCAGGCTGGCCTCAAACTCACAGAATCCACCTGCCTCTGCCTCCTGAGTGCTGGGATTAAAGGCATGCGCCACCACCGCCACCTGGCTGAATGGATGTTTTTCATGTCTTGTTCCAGAAATTATTATCTGCAACACCAAAAGGTGAAGAAGTTTGCTGTTTCAGTTTGCCCATTAGACATAGAGTGAGCTTGTGTGAGTGTTGATGCAATCAAGGTTCTCCTTCTGGTTTTTGTTTTTTTACATTAGGGTACCTGGTTGACCCGTTACCATTATAGGGAAAACCACCCCCCCCACACACACATTTAACAAAGACATAATGTTATGAATAAAATGTTCAAATTTTTTATTTTATATGATTGTTTTGCCTGCCTGTATGTGTGTGCACCATTTGCATGCCTGGTGCCCACAGACTCCAGAGATGGCATAGGTCCTCTGGAACTGGAGTTACAGACCTCTGTGAACCACCATGAAGTAGTGATTTCTTGAAGACTACACTCGAGCTCCCTGCATGAGCACCAACTGCCCCTAAGCTCTTCAGCCCTTGTCCCCCAATTCTTATAGCTCTGCTTCGGGATTCTCAATTTTGAGTCATTGACCTTGCTCTCATGCTACACAGCACCTGTCATTCTCTACATCTCTGTTTTTCAAATGAAGAAAACGGGGCATGGAGAAATTAAGAAGCTTGTCCGAGTAAATACACCACTTACTAGTTAATGGTGGAGCTGAAAAGCGAACTAAGAGAGTCTGGCGTTGCGCTCCGTGCTTTCAAAAAGCGCAGCGGCTTCTCAAACTGGATAGTTGAAAGGACGATTATTTTTGTCACTAGGTTTGGGCGTATTGGCGGCTGCACTTAGGCAGGAGCCCCATGGACTCGTACTTTCCGATCTGACCACTAGATGGCGTGAGCACCTTAGAGTCGCCATGCATGCCCCGCCCTCTGCGTGGTCACCTTTCCACCAATCATCAGATATTTATACAAAGGGCAGGTCCAAAACAGAAATGTGTCACATATCGTCTCCACAGAGGACTTTGACGAAAGGAAACAAACAAAACAGAACCGATCTGTTTTAAAACTCTTCGGGGAAGGCAGACAACATTCACTTTCTAGCTGACCAGTCACATCCTTGAAGTACCGAGGTCTCCCCTTCGCTCCTCCTCCCCTTCTGCCTTTAGTGGGAGCAGGAGCAGCGTTTGTTGCCCATGTGAACAGGAAGGCGAGGAGCTCTGAGGAGGCCGAAATAGAATTCAGATTTCCGTTTCTTTAGTCATGTGCAGGCTTGTTTGCCCTCTCCCTGGTATCTCTACACTCATTTTAAAGCACAAAATTCCAAAGTGGACTTCGTCCTCCAGTACCCTTTCTTCATACTGACTTCCTGGCCCTTGAATGTTGCCCAGGTAATTCACCCAAGCGCTAGGCAGCCATTCTGTGGAATGAGTCATCCTTATCAACCTGAATACGCAAGCCACATCAAAGACGATGACATAGCAAGATGGAACCACGGCACCGCTAGCTGTTGAGAACACACTGCCCCTCCCTCTTGGCTCAGACTTTACAGGCAGTGTCCATAAGAAATCACTGAGTTGTTTAGGCTTATCTTTGTTTTTCATTGTTGCTAGAATTTTGTTTTTAATTAATAAAAGTCTCGTTCACTTGGTCACTTATGGAACACGTGGTATGTGTAAGAAAAGGCACGGAAATTGCAAGGAAGGCAAAATTGGATGCAAAGCCTGTTCTGCATAACAGCAGCTGCTCACTGTGCCCATGGAACCACTACAACCCTGTTGTATCTATTAAGGAAGTGACAGGGGCTGGAGGGGTGGCTCAGTGGCCAAAAGAACTACTTGTTTGTGGTGGTTTCAATGAGAATTCCCTCCGTAGGCTCAAATATTCGAATGCTTGGTCCACAGTTGGAAGAACTGTCTGGGAAGGATTAGGAGGTGTGGCCTTATTGGAGGAGGTGTGTCACTAGGGCTAGGCTCTGAGCTTTCAGAAGCTGAAGCCATTCCCAGTCAGCCTTCTGTGTCCCGTGCTTGTGGATCAGATGTGAGCTCTCAGCTACTGCCCAGCACTATGCCTGCCTGCCTGGGGCCATCCTCCTCATCATGATGGTCATAGGCTACTGTCCAGCACTATGTCTGCCTGCCTGGGGCCATCCTCCTCATCATGATGGTCATAGGCTACTGTCCAGCACTATGTCTGCCTGTCTGCAGCCATCCTCATCATCATGATGGTCATAGGATACTGTCCAGCACTATGTCTGCCTGTCTGCAGCCATACTCCTCATCATGATGGTCATAGATTCTAACCTTCTGGAACTGTGAACCTCCACATTAAATACTTTATAAGTTGCTTTGGTTATGGTGACTTGTCACAGCAATAGAAAAGTAACTAAGACACTGAAGAATAGAGTCTGATTCCCAGCACCCACATCAGGTGGCTCAGAACCCCCTATAGCTCCAGCTCCAAGGGATCCAATGCCCTCTTCTGGCCTTCCTGCCATCCACATCCACATGGCATCCACTGACAAACATACACATAAATAAAATAATAAAGGTAAATTAAATGATAACAACTAACAGAGAAATCAATGAGCTTGTCCAGGGTCACACAGAAGAAAAGCAAGTGGAATTTAGTTCAGCCTCCCTATAAATAAGATAGGGCAGTCCTTGACTGCAGATAGCTCACAGTTTCCAGACACAGCGTTCTGGGAGTCTAACAGAAAAAAAAAAAAAGAGAGAGAAGAATTTACTCCCTGAAAGGCCATTTGTGAAAGAACCCCCTCCTTATTCTATTTTCTTCCTGGCAGGTTCTCAGTGTTGTGGGGACCCAAGGAGACAGAAGAGAAAGGAGTATAATGCCTCAAGAGAAAAGGAATGAGGGGCTAGAGAGGTTGCTCAGTGGTTAGGAGTGTGTACTTTTCTTGCAGAGAACCCAACTTGTGGATGGTTCTCAGCATCCACATTGGGAGGCTGGCAATAACCTGTAACTCCAATCCTGGGAAACACTCTGTTCTGGACTCCATTGGGTGCCTACATTTATGGGCACATACTCATACACAGACACACAGCTAAACATGGCATTGAATATAATAAAAAACACATTTAATGTGGGACATCAGTTCACTCAGCAAACACTTGCAGAGGAGATTAAAAAAGGTGAGGGCCAGGTAGACACTGGGATAGACTTGAAGGCACTGGCCAGTCTGAGTCTCTTCCTTTTGATTCATGTGATCCCTCAGTGCCAAGTACTGAGCTAGACCTGGGAAATGACACTGACTGTAACTTAGCCAAGGTCCCTGCATGTCTGGGCTTATAGCGTGATGGAGCAGACATACCATAGCTAAGAAATTCCACTAGTGTGAGCTAAGGCCAGTGATCAAACAGAGCACCAATTGAGATGAGGCGCTGTGCACGCTAGATCCGGGAAGCTGGAAAATGACAGCTGCCACAGGGAAAACAGGAGATGCAAAGGCTGTGGGCTGGGGCGTGTGATTTTTATGAGGGAACAACATGTACAAAGCTCTGGAAATGAGGATCACAGTGACGCTCTGGTTGGAGAGTGGTGCCAATTAGCACCATTACATTGCTGACTAAATTCTAGATTCTTTCATTGCTCATTCCCAGGTTGAGGAAGGGTTCTGAGCACGGGACCAACACAAGGACAAATGGAAACAGTCCTCCGCTCTAGCACTCCTGCCCACTCAGGCCATCTTAGGGCAGATGCAGTATTTGCTGCACTCGATCAATCTGCAAATACTGTGCTAGAATCTCCAAAGAATCATAGGGCTTCCAAAGAAGAGGTAGGGTAATAATGCCCTCCACATCTCAGATTCCCACACGGAATCCAGTTCAGAGTTGTAGACGATAACGGCACTGTGTCTACTAAACAGAAAGTAAATGAAAATAAATTCATCTGAGGGCACAATTACTGCCTCAACCCACATCCTCTGCCCTTTCTCCCAAACTCACTTCTGCCGCATAGAAGGGCTTCTTCTTCATCCTTATGCCTTGCTGCATGCAAATGCCAAGATTCTCTGCGAGAAAGTGAGTTAAAAGTAGAAGCTTTGAAATCGGAAATTTCAGAGCGGAATCTTACTGGATTCACGGTATTGCGCAAGCCATTCAAACTGGGGCGCCCTAAGCTTGCCTCATCGGCAGAATAAGACTAACAAGCATCTGTTTCATCCGGGCTTGTGGAATGAACGTAACCGGGATGAGATGAGAATAGAAAATAGGGCAGTTTGTGTAAGGCAATCACCGCTCAGCTTGGCATGTGAACAGTACAACGAACCGCAAGTACGGGCCTGGTGACAGGTCTATCAGCCACCAGCGGGAGTCACCGCAACCCCTGTCCTTCCCAGAAGCAGGCGGGGAACGCGAAACGCGTAGGAGATCCGGGGTCCCTCCAGACTCAGCCCACGCAGGGCGGGCGGCAGCGCCATCCTGCGTCACTGGCGAGCGGCTACCGGGCGGGGACCACACATGGTGGGAACGTGAGGGGGCGGGGCCCGCGCCGGCGCTGCCGGCCAATAGAGCGGAGGGGGTGTCCCGTCCAATCAGAGAGGTGCGCCCGGCCTCGGGGGGCGGGGCCACGTCGGGGGATCCGCGGTGTCATAGGCCGCCGGGCGGGCGCTGAGCCGGACCTGCAGTGTGGTCAGGGGCGGAGCCGCTGCTGGAGGCCCAGTCGGGGCGGCGATGGCGGCGGCAGCAGTGGTGGCGGCGACGGTCCCCGCGACGACGATGGGCGCTGACGGCGCGTCCTCGGTGCACTGGTTCCGCAAAGGGCTGCGGCTCCACGACAACCCCGCGCTGCTGGCGGCCGTGCGCGGAGCGCGCTGTGTGCGCTGCGTCTACATCCTGGATCCGTGGTTCGCGGCCTCCTCGTCTGTGGGCATCAACCGATGGAGGTGAGGGGAACCCTATACGCGGCGGGGTGGGAGCCCCGAGCGGACTCCGGCTGCGGCCACCGCTGACAGAGCGGTCTGGCCCCTCTGAACGCCACGACAGTCGGGCGGGGGCGGGGGGGACGGGGGACGACAGAGGTCATGACTCCTCGGTGCTGACGAAACTCTCGTCAGAAACGCGAAGACCTGCAGCCTGTTCCTGACAGAATGGGGACTTTCTGGTCTTGGGCTTTTAGAGAGGTGCCATGGGGTGGCGTGGAGAGGTGAGGGAAAGCATTCTTCGAGGGAAGAAGGTCCTCTCTGACCAAGCCCCCTCAGGCTTCCCTAAGCCTCGGATTTGTTTGACTGTCTCCCACCCCGATTTCCCATCCTGGCTAACATCCTTACACAATCACCCTGGTGGTGATTAGGGACCCTGGCTTAGCCTTAGCCAGCATTAAAAAGACCCCAAGGGCGTCTTCGGGTAGTGCCACTTTGTGTCTTGACCTCCAGAGGAGTTCTTAACCCTTAAAATTACTATTATATGTACTTTTTAAGTTTTTTGGGAAAGGACATGCCGTGGCGGTGTATAGAGTTAAGAGGACAACTTGCAAGTTCTCATTGACCATACAGCTGGCTCCAGGGATCAAACTCAGGTTGTCAGGCCAGGAGGCAGGTGCCATTATCCGCTGAGCTATCTCCCAGGTAGCCCCCTTAACTGATCTGAGAGGACCCCTTCTGCAGTTACAACTTTACTAAAAAATATTCAAAGAGCATGGCATTACCTGTCAGCCCTTCCTCCTATTGTCATGGTATGATTTTTAGAGGACAGTGGGACCATTATAGATGAGACTTTTAGGAGCTGATATAAGGGTAAGGAACCACAAAACCACAATGTCAAGAGCCCCTGATAACTCCCTGGAGGATGAGTCCTTCCCCACATTGTGTGACCCAATTAATAAATAGGTAGCTGATGTATTTTCTCTGTAGCCAGTATTCAAAAACAAGTTTGGATACATCATGTACCCATCACTCTTTAAATGCCTCCTAGCAGTGGCTTGATTTGTTTGCATTGTTATGAGCGATGTTTGCTTATGGCCTTGCTGCACAGAGGAGCAAGGTAATTCCCAGGAGACAGTGGCTCTCAGCACCCCATTCTTTCCTCTCCAAGAGGGGTCTGCAAGTGCTCCTAGTAGCGTGTCTATTAAATGCCCCTTCCTGTCCCATTTACGCAGAGGGAACAACTAAAGATAGTCCTGTGGAGAGCCAGCCCACGCTGTTTTCAGGCTGCGCTATTACTCTGTCTTGCTCCAGTTTCCGTAGATAGAAGGTTGAATTTGACAAACACTGGCAAATGACCATCTACTGTGGACTTAAACCAAGCCTTAGACTTTGCCCTCCTCTTCTTTTTGGCAGTGTGCCAATCTAGACAGAGTCAATAGAATCTGACTGTTTGTTATGTTGTCATGAAGGGGTTGTTTTTTTTTTTTTTCCTTTCACTGAGATTGTGGGGAGCATTGCCTGTGGCTGCCTCTTCCTTTGTGGTAGTGGAGATAAAGGAACCACAAAGTTGGTTGAACTCCAGTATACTAGTAACTTGGTTTTTTGGGTTTTTGTGGGTCACCCTTTTGTAGTTGCACCTTCAAGAGAATGAAGCAGGAAAGGAACAAGGCAGCTCAGATGCCTGAGTGAAATCTCAAATCGTGTGGGAATCGTGCAAATGTTAACTGAGAGTTATTTTGTGAGTTGTAGCTGGTGGGCCGCTGCTAAGTACGGCAGTGAGCTCAGGTGTGCTCCCACAGCTTCCAGAACCTACATTTGAGGAGAGAAAGGCAAGTAAACAACCACAGTGGAGGAGGCCTGAATGCCATGAACAGAATTAGACGAGGGACAAACTACAGATGTGTTTTTAATATTGGAATCTCTTAAGGATCTTTGACAGCTTCCTGGGCTCCCCTCCCGGATTTATGATTCAGTTGCCCTGGCCTGGGTTGGTTGTTTTTTGTTTTGTTTTTGTTTTTGTTTTTTTAAGCCATTGCAGCCAAGTGTCAGAAGTGCTGCACTAAAGAACCACAGAGAGCCAGGCGACCTGGGGAGTGTGTTGCTTCAGTGCATTGACCGGAAGTCTAATTAGCTTTGGCATTTAGGAGAATGAGGCGAAATAACACCAAACAGATCGAATATGGTAGCTGCTCCTGAACCTGGCAGCAGGCACACACACTCCAGCAGCCCCGTCATCGGCCTTGCTCCTGATGGCTGGAGAGCAGGGCTGGGTGCTGTTTGGTGCCCAGGGTTGGAGGCAAGGAGTTGCCCCCTCCCACTCCAGCTGCACCTCTGCATAACTACAGCATGTGTAATCTTCCGGCGCTGCTTCTGGAACTCGGGGAGTAGATTAAGAGAATGGGGCTGCAGCATAATGGCCCTGCCCCCACTGCTTCAGACCGGCTCTGAAAAGTCTCTCTGGAAGGGGTGGGGGGGTCCATCTGGCAGAAGCGGAGATCAGAGTCCGTCATCTCTGTTACACTGGTTCCCTCCTGCAGATGGAATCAGATTAAAATAGCTACCATGTCAGCTAAAGAGAAAGGCAACCGGAATACACATGCATGTATGTGCCTTCTCTATGCCAACAGCGCCTGTGTGTGCATGTATGTTCTGTTGCCATGGAAGACTGTCATATTGCTTGCCTTGGTGAGGGTAGGGAGCCTATGGGTCAGTGCTAGCTCTGTGACTCCCAGGAATGCTCTTCTTGCTCAGGTGCCATTTTCCTCTGTCCGTCCCTCCCCAGCTTTGCTGCATCCAGAAAGGAGGTGGTACAGGCAAGAACCCAAACAAAAGGCAGCTGTGAGCGGCTTCTAGATTTTAAAATGGGTCAGACTCGATCCATTTTTACTTCCCTTCCTCTCCCTGTCACAGCTTAGATGCTGCCCAGGGTTCTCCTCCTACTCCGTTGAAATCGTTTTGGCTCTGGCTCTGTGCTGCATCTCTTTCAGGAGCTTCCAGAACAGAGGGAATTATAGAAATATGTTCTCTCTTAGCCATTTCTCTCAGTAGCCAGTGATACCGTCTGGGAACTCACATTATCTGGTGAGAAAGAGCTCACCTCATCCCAAGTGCTCGGAGCTGAATGCAGCTGGACATCTAGACTGTCGAAATGGGTGGCCTGGGAACTTGGTCAGCAAGGAGACGGGAGCTGTAGTTGCTGGGAGAGCCATTGTGTTCCTTGAGCTGTTCACACTGCAATTCTAGCAAGGGGCTTCACTGTTCTGTAAGCCAAGGGCACGTTTCCGTTTGCCCAAGAGGGTGAAAACTTCAATCAAGCTCTTTATTTTATTTTTTTTAAGATTTATTTATTTATTATGTATACAGAAGAGGGCGCCAGATCTCATTACAGATGGTTGTGAGCCACCATGTGGTTGCTGGGAATTGAACTCAGGACCTCTGGAAGAGCAGTCGGTGCTCTTAACCTCTGAGCCGTCTCTCCAGCCACAAGCTTTTTAAAATTAAGCACTCCCAAAAGAAAAAAAAAAAAAAAGAAAAACCTATATTTCTATCTGAATGAGACTTAGGAAGCAGTCTCTGCCACAGACTGTGGGTTTAAATTATCCTTTTTGTGGGGTTTAAACTCTCTTAATTTTTAGAAGTGAATTTCTATCTATTAATATCCTATCACCTGTCCGCCAGCCCATAATATCATTGTTATGGTAAAATAAGCTTGCTTGAAGCAGAGGAATTTGGTCAAGGACCATCTGTATCCAAGAGAACTCACTATCACCCCTCTCCTCTGTGTTAACAGAAAACTGTTTCTCAACACAGCCAATGCCACCCCTCGAGGAGTTCTCCCCGAGTACAATGTGTATGTAACTAGCCTGTTCTGAAGGGGCAGCCTCCTGGAGTTCCTGAATGACAGTTTTCTCTGTATTTTTTGGAAATTCCAATTTGGTTTTCTCCAGTTCTGTCTGCCCTGGCTCCATGGGACTTACGTAATTCTGGTGCACATCTATTGAAAATGGTGAGCTCTGACTAGCTCCCTCCAGGGCTGTGTGCTCTGCCACGTGATCGCCACTTGGAGCAAGGGTGAGGGTCAGCCCCCAGTACCACCCCTTCCAGTGCTCACTCAAGCTGTGTTCCTTTGGAGTCCCCCTCCTGAAGTAAGGAGAAGTGGGCAGGTGCAGAGGAGGATTCGAAGGGAGCATCCAGGGAAGGCCCAGGTTCTCCCTGGCTAAGAAAGCCTAGGCCTGCCTGGTGCTGTCCAGGAGCAGCTTGCTCCAGTTCCTTTGTGCTCTGCAGAGCTGTCACCAGGCAGATCCAAAAGGTGATGCCATAGCACTGGCTTCCCTGTCCGTGGCTGCCTGGAGGCTGGAGACTATACGGAGACCTCCCTATGTCTTCTTCCTGTTGCCTTCTGGGATGCTGTTCTAAGTTCATCCTGGGGAGGAGGGATGGTGGATATAGTGAAGTATTTCTTAAGGGCCAAAAAGTCTGAAACAAAAATGTGATGTGGTGGGGGTGGGGGCTCAGTAGAAGCAAATTTGAAACAAAAATGCACTTTGTACATCAAGGTCAAAGTGAAGAGCATTCCACGGTGGAGCTTCTTCAGTTTTCATGGACAAGTGCATTCCCAGACAGTCATATGGAAGGGCAAATTCAGTTCATGGCGGTCTAGGATGGAGCCCAAGAGTGTGTCTGTTCTAGCAAGTTCCTGGTCATGCACAGCTAATGCTGCTAAGCCTCACACCACACTTTGGG